GATCTCATGGCCTGAAACTTCTAAAATACTTACTCTCTGGCTCTTTACAGAAGTTTACTGAGCCCCCAGCTCCACACTGCACTGCGTCAAGTTAGTATTTTGTTTAATTAAGGGTGAGAATGTATGATATAATTTAGAAATATTTTCTAAAGAATTACATATAAGATTTAGTACCTAAAGAATTAAATATCAAAAAGGCAAAACATTTGCTTATGAGAAAGTATTCCCCCTGATGTCTCCTGATACCCTAAAGATCTCACAATGTGATTTACTTTTCAGTGCCTTAACATGGAAAATGTTTCGGATGGAGGAAAACTTAGCTTTCAGACTTCAACATTTCTTTAAAAAAAAAATCATAATGAAGATCTAGATTTCGAGCATTCATTACAGTTAAAATCTGACTTTGTTTTCTTTTCATTCTGTTTCATACTGGGTAGAACAGCAAAGCAACATGATCCCCTGTTAGGCAAACCAAAACAGATCTCTCATATTGAGCAAAGAATGATGCAGATTTGTTGGCTAAAACATTATTCTTAAAATTGAGCAAGGGAGAAAAAGAAAGATTAATGTTTAATTCACACATTGGTCTTCAGAGTAATTTATCCCTCAAAATTTGGAATTGATTTATAGTTCACCCACTTCTATAAATGGATAGGAGACAGAAAATTTGAGAATATGCATCCAAGAATACTGTATCTGGGATTACTATGTTCAAGTTGTGAAAGTAATTTAGTAGAAAGTGAAAATAAACAACTTTGTTAAAGATTTTTCTCCTCAAACGCTTAAAGAGTCAGGAGAGAAAAACCTTAACCTTTTTTAAAAACAGTATTCTATATGATCTCCTAATTGAAAGGAAACCTGATTTCTTTGAATGATACTAGAGACAGAAAGTTAAGAAGAGAAATAAACCGAGAATCAAAAATGAAGTTCAAGAAACCTTCAGAGTAGCACACTTATTTTAACACCCAGCTCCTCTCAATGCCAATTAATTTAAATCAAAACCCTTGATCAATAATAAAAGTGCTGGCTGACAATAGGGACTCAAGAATGAACACCCCATAGTATTTGCCATCCCCAATTGTTAAAAGTACAAGAATTGGATCCAGGTGTCCACTTGAGGGCAGATCTGTGGAACTCAAAGTACAACACATTTTTTAAGAACTATTTATGGAACACCAATTCTCAAAGCTGTTGAACTCCTCAAGGGCTTATTCAAAATGTGAACTTTCCAGTAAATGAAGGAGCTACAACTAAAGAGGAACCACACAAAAGCATCCCGAGAAGCCTGCTACTGTTTCCCAGCCTGCGGCAGAATATCCTGATAATCGGCCTGAGCGACTAGAAAGGGTACCAGCTCTTCATGCTCTGAAAGATGCCTCTGCCAGCCAGGCAGGGTAGAGTCTGGCTCCGCTCCAGAATCACTGTTTAAACAAAAACATCCTTCAAAACTCAGTTCTGTGGGGACTTACCACAAGCTGTGGGGTGGAACTTTCCAGTAATGCCCAAAATAATTGGACCTGAGACACACTGGCTGACCACCACCACCACTGACTCTGGGGAGAGCTGTCTAGGAGGAGGCTGAGGCTCCTGGGCTGACCACCCAGAAGGAGTGGAGAAGAACAAAATAACTGCATGAGAAGAAGTGGGCAGAGCAAGCAGGGGGATGGAGGAGGAGGAGAAAAGTCATGCTGGAAACACATGTCCCCCAGGCGCGACACAGCCCAACCCATGAAGCGGCCCCACCAAAATGTAAACATGAAGCTCATTGGCTCCTAGTGCACTAACTACCTTCCACAGGAAACCAAGGAGAGGAGTGGACATGTTACGTGACACCACAGGGTGTAGTTATAATTGCATTTAAACATTATTGAAAAAAAAATGGTTGAGTACCTAGAGATTAAAATGCCCTGACTTCATTTGAATCCTCATGTGAACAAACCAGGAGAGATGGAGGGAAGAATGGAGGGAGCGGGAGAGGGGCAAATATTTCATAGTGATGTTAAGACATAAAACTTGGGTTGATTTGTTACTCAGCAATACATAACCAATACAGAAATCCACACTGAAAATACATAGCAAGGTCTCCAGGAAGGCAGCGGGAGGGTGGCTGCAGGGTAGGCTGCGTTTCCCACCACGTCTGCACATGCATCTCTTCCTCTTTCAGCCTGAGACGCAGGAGACACTGCCTGTCCACGCTTGGGCTGGAGCAGGCATGGAGGCATCTGCACCGGGGCCCAACCCAGGGAAGCCTCGGCTTGTTCACACAGCTCTGAAATGGGATATCGAGTGGGGGCGTCCGTGTGGAATTTAAGTTTAAGGGTTTTTCCTCTCTTCAGTCCAACAGCACAAAAGAGATTGGGTTCTGAGCTGGCAGGCTTGCTTTCATTTGTCATTATGTTTTACACACAAGGAAATTTTAATGTCTAAAGATGGGAGGTGATGATAAGAATAGAGCTACACATGTTTTTCTGGCAGCCCAGTCACCAGCACTTAAATTCACTTCTGACAGTTCTCAGAATCTAAAGACCTACGAGTACGAAACTGTCATCTGCCTATCCAGGAGAGATTTCACGTTGGCAGGATTTCAGAAGGCAAATCGCTCGCTTTTGTATGCATATTTTCACCACCACAATATTTCTCTAAGCCTTGTACAATCCTGTACTCTCAAGAGACAGACACAGAGTGCTACAGTGTGTTCCAAAGGAAAAACTGCCCTTGTGCCTGAACCTACAAATGGAGAAAGTCAAAGTCATTTGATAAAATCTAGGATTACAGCAAAATGGTTGATAGCTCCCTCCAAGAAGAGTTTGGGCTTCATGATTACAAAAGGCACTTAATTCGCTGATTTCCAAACTACTTAATGGTTAAAAACTAATGGTCCCGTTAAGATGTGGAAGAAGATCCTATTATGTAACAGTTGGCTGTTTTCTAAAAGCTGCTCAGTGCCAGTGCAGGCTGACGCAGGACCTGGAGGGAGCTGATCAGAGGCAGTGAATGTGAGCCCTGGCTAGAGCAGCAGGGTGTGGGAGAGCAGGGAGCCCCAGGAGGCTGAAATCCTGCATCTGCCCCCAGCTGCCAAGTTCCCCCTGGGAGAATCACTCATTTTCTCTGAGTCTCAGTTTCCATCCTATTTAAAATAAAAAAATAGTGCCACGTGGTGGTCAAGAGGGTGCAAATGACCACATGGGCTCTTAGCCCCTCTACCAACCGCAGGCCTTTGAATGGCTTGCTCCTTCTTCCTAGCTTCCCTTTCCTCATGTGTACAACGGAGACAGTCACACCGTGCCCCCAAAGGATGGCTTCGAAAAGCAAATCAGAAAATGCATGCAAAACCTTCTTAGTGTGGGGCCCATAATAAGCCCCCAATAAATGAGCTGGTACTTCTGCTGCAGAGCTTGTTAGAATTATTCCCTCCAAAATGACCACAGACATGTGCAATTGCGGAGTCAGCCCTTAGCAATAAAACACTGCTTGCTGACAACGGAGATTATGGCTTGTTTGCGGCTAACTTGGCTTCCAGTGGCCACCGCTCTCTTCCCAGAGCCCAGGAGAATGCCTGGGGCTTTGGAGGTGCTTATAAGTACATAAATGAACGAGGAAGACTAAATGACCACTTGTCTGGAACTCCACTGCTATTCCCCATACCTGGTCTTCTCCAATCGCTCTGGCAAGGGGTAGCAGCTACCAGTTGCCATGCGCTACACAGGAGGCCCCCTGCTCAGATCCACTGACCAGCTGCGGGCTGTCACCTGCCTGTGCCTGTGAAGGCAGGACCAGAACTTGGAGAATGCTCTCAAAAATCCCCAACTCCGCATGGTACCCAGAGCCCAAGGCTCAGGCCACTTGCTCACTCTAAAAAGAGATGTGAAGAGCAAATTTTGTTACAGTCTAAAAGATGGAGCAAGACCCAGAAAGAGACGGACAGCCATGCAGGGTCAGTCCTTCTGAGATTTGCAGACCTGGTCTCTGACCCCTTCCTTCACACCCTTCATCTGCTTGGAGAAGAACTATAAAACGAATGTCCCCATCAGAGCCCAACCTATGGCCAGGTTGTCATGTATGGCAGCTCTCTGTGTCTAGCCCTGCTGGTGAGACCCTTGGCCCCATTTGTAGTATGATTCACTTAATCCTCGAATTTCCATCACCTCACTGTAAATAAACCAAGTTATTTATTAATGCAATCTGAACCACTAATAAATGAGAAATCTGTATTGTTGGCACTACACATGAGTCAACCATAAAAATAAACATTTGGAATCAAAATATTTTCATTAAAATGTACCTAGCCACTACTGCTTTTCTTAGCCTGGGGTCTGAGTCTTGGTCTCTCTCCTCTCCCCCTCCCTCACACCTTCCTTACCTCCCTCCTCTCTCACCTCTCCCTCTCTCTGTAGGAAATGGAAGTCAGCCTGTGAAGGCATCACAAATATGCGAGCCCATAACTAGGGCTTTCTCCTTTGGGCATTTTGAAAGATGGAAAAAGAATGAAAATTAAAAACAGGAGTAAGTTTCTCCTTATTTTAGGCTATGTGTTTGGAGCCGTATGCACGCACCACATCAAATCATTGAAGGCTTGCAAAATACATATCCCTCCGCTGCTAGATTTCCAGCACCCTGCAGTTCTGGGTAACTGAGTTTACTTGCTCCTGAATGCAATTCCAACATTGTTTTCCTTGATTCTGAGATGCTATCCACTGAAAAGATGTCTATGACCAGGGTACATCTTACAACGGTACAGCTTTTACTAGCCACTTAACTAGTACTTTAGTAGTGTCTTTTCCTTTTGTATCTGGGAAGCTGTTATTAGATTGATGACACGTCTCATAATGAGGGTGACTGAGAGTCAAGAAAATATGGGACACCTCAACAGGGCCAATATAAATGAGCCTCCTGTTTGGACACCAAGACAACACCACGGTGTTCTCCCAATTGTGTTCATCTGATAAAGACATTACAATAGCCAGGAATTATGATCTATAACCCTCCGCTGGAACACTCACACGTTCTTGGCCTTGAACGCTTCAGCAAAATGCTGCACGCTGCGGAGCAGAGCGAGGTCCAGGGTCATTGCTTCTACCTTGGCTTTGTGCTGGAATGAGAGAAAATAAAAAGAAATGATAAATAACAGCAAGTTTAGTTCATAGTATCAAGTTACAGTAAATGTGTTATGGAACATGTCGGAATTCCCCTGTTTAATATTAGACGCCCAGAGAGAGTATAAATCACTGGAATGAATGGAAGAACAAGGCTTTTATTGCCAAGTTCAGAGAGCATGTGAGGCTGGGGTTGCACTGGGCCTCCCTCTGCACATTCAGGCAGGCTGGGAGCAGGATCTTTGCTCACTCCAACTCCTCCCAATCTACATTACAAAAAGTGATACATTGAGGGGGACACCACCACCAAGCCTGGCTCAGGCAGAGATGCCATGGATGCCATTTTAACCTTGAAAATCACCTTCTAGGTACGGAAATGTTTCCAATAAGGCTGTACCAAAAATTAAAGATAACTCATGTATAGATAGAACAAAAAAGAGGCAAGACTCCTGTATTCCAATGGACTCTGACTGACCTAGGTCCCCAAGAGAAGCCCAGCTGAGTGACACAGAACACTCTACAGGCTGTGGGGCATTTTTTAAATAGTAATGATGCTGACGACGGCTATTGTTTACTCAGAGCCTGCCATAGGCTGGGTGCTTGCACACATCTCATTTAATCCTCAAAATGACTGAATTAGAGGCAACAGGTCCCCCATTTTATAGGGTAGCATCTTACAAGAGATCACAGAACTCAGAAGTCTGACCCGAAAACCCAAGTTCCCTTGTAGCAAGAAGCCAGGACTGGAGAGTCGGGCACTGACTCAGTCACCTTCCACTGGATACAGTCTTCCTGGCCATAACTCTGGAAGTTCCATCTGAGGGCTGCCCATCTGACCTGTCTTGTTAATTTATGGGGAGTTTTTGACTATTAGGTCAGGATGACCTTTAGAGTGTGGCATTAAGTACCATTAATTCTTAGATCCAGCTCCTCCAAAGATGTAAAGCCAGGAATGTCAGTGCCATCTGCCTGTCCAGGTAAGAGCCTCATGAAACCAACAGTTAACTTTGGAATTTCAGTCTAGACTGTGATGCTTGAGTAAGTCTAGGGAGAATAACCGGCTACCTCTAATGCTACGGAACGATGCGAACAGCACTGCTGAGGACATCCCCACCCTGACTGTCCTACTCGGGAGGGTGAAAGCTATGCTGGGTTTAGTGTATCTGCAGCCAGTTTATCTTGGCTGCGAAAGTCCTGGGCTCTAACCCAAGTCCTAAGCTTTCAACAGTCAACATCAGGCAGGGGCAGCTGGAGAGCCCACCAACTATGGGCCATTTAACATTGCCAAGCCTCAGTTTCCTCACTGGTAAAAGACAAATAGGAATTTTCTGTTCAGAGATGTGAGGGTAAGGGCTAAGCAGCTCAGATCTTGTCTGGAAGACAGAAGATAGTTAATAAATTTAACTAGGAGGAGCAAATACATCGGCTATGCCAAATCCTTGTCCTGATGCCACTTGGCAGTCAGCAGAGGTTTGGTGGGCTGCGGGTCAAAGGAGGAAATGATGTTATGATGTCCAAAGATCCTCCCCATAGACCACACTGGACCGGACCACCAACTGTCTGTTAGATCCTGGAGGATCCAGGTCACTTTTACTAACTGAGCCCAGTTGTAGGGAAAGGTGGTAAAAAGTGACTGAATGATTTTCCCAAATCCCAGAAGCATCTTGGTGCCGAAGGCAAGAGCGACCCACATGGATGCTAATTCCTGGTCTTGGTGCAAAGGTGGCAGATGCTCAGCTGTGCAGACTTCAGAAGGAAGCAAAGAAGCATCAGTGTGATGGAGGAAAGAGGAAATGCCAACACATGGGGGAATCAGAATTTCCTAAGGTCAAAGTAAGAGAGCTGAGGGCTGGAGGGTCTTGCAGGGTGAGGCCACAACCCCACCTGATAGGGAAGGAAGGGGTCATCAGGACTCCTAGTGGCACCAAATTAGGTCACACTCCTGTAGAGAGCTTGGGTCTCCAGATGAAGAGCAAAACCCAATCTTCTTTCTGAGTAACCAACATTTATCTAACCGATGACTAAAAATTAAATAAGAATAAGAGATTTTACATTCAATGGCTAAGTCCCCCCATTCAGAGATTACTGAGCCTCACAAACACTTAAATACTTGATGTGACATTCAAACTTAGCAAATAAAGTGGCCTTTTCCCCTTACCCAACCTCCTTGGGTCCCAGCTCACTTCACTGGGAGCAGGAGAGCCAGAATATTACAGAAACGTCAATGTATCACACATTCATGATGCTGTGGAGCAGGTGACAGAGACTGTCCCTCTTTGCCAATGCAGGCCACTTATTATAAAAACACATGTACCTACTCCCCCCATAGTACAGGAAGAATGTTCCCAGGTGGCGACCCCAAAGCAACATTCCAAAGACGTGAAGCCAAGACCCAGGGGCCATACGTTCCTCTCACACATAACTTCCTGTGGCTAGGTTGTCTTTTGGCCTTCCCCTGGCTTCAAAATAAAGCACAGAGCTGCCACTACCCATACGAACAAAATCAGAACTTACACATCCAGGGGGAGCAAGGGGTCACAAGCTGCCAAGTAGTTCAACAGACTAATCCACCCACTGTGTGTTACGAGGCTCCCAGGGACAGTGGTTCAGGCGCACACACTATTATTCAGGTAATTCTTCTGCCCTGGGCATCAGGTTTCTTGTTTTTGCTGCTGGCCCTGAGAAACGCAGAGGAACTGAGCAGTACAGCATGTCCAGGGGGGGACAAGTGTAGCTTTCAGGATTAGGGTGTGTGTATGTGTTTGTGTGGGTGTGGTGTGGGGCTGCTCTTCTGACAGTCCAACAGTCAGCAGCTTTCTAGAAACGTCTGCCAGGATACATGCTCTGAATGGGAATGCAGGGGCTCAGTTACCACAAACAGAACCATTTTTCAGTGGCAAACTGCTGGCTGTTAGGCGACGACAGGAGACCCGATTTGCCACTGTGAGATTTCCTGCCAACACCACTAGTGACAGGCCACAATTCGCTGTCTTGGTTTAACTCATGGACTTCTTCTTGGAACTAATGATAGACTCATAAGAAAAGGCCAAGTTTGCACAGCAAGTGTCCATGAACCCATTATCCAGCTTCCTTAACAGTGACATCTTACCTATTCCTGTGTTCCTTTATGTTTCTCAGGGTCAGTAGCAAGTACATAATTAAAACTTGAAAATGGACATTGGCACAGACAATTTATTAGACCTCTCTTATTACTAGGTTTTCACCAGGGTGGGCATGTATTCTTTTTCCTTCCCTTGTTTGGACTATCTTTGTGCATAATTCTGACATATTTTGTCACGTGTATAGTTTAGCAAAGCTATGAACACATTCCATGTACAGAATTGCTCTACCACCAAAAAATCCACATCTTTCATTAACAAGAGTTACAATGAGCATGTGCAATCTGCAGCATGAAAAGTTCATGTCTTTTTTGGCCAGATCCTGTTCTCTGGATGGGCAAAACAAACACATAAAAACCCCCTTTGTAGCTTGGAATGGTCAACAAGATGTGGTCCATACTCAGCATGGTGAGGAAGATCTTCTGTATCAATCAGGATATGCTTCAATAAGGAGCAGGCCCCAAATTTCCATGCCTTGAAATAACCCAGGACTGTTGTCCTCCACACTCAACCCGGTTCAGAGGGCCACGCTTCTCATGTTAGCCAGAGATTCACTGGATGGAGCCTCCATCCTCTGTAACATCACCAGGCTCCACAGCAATGGGAAGAGAGCACAATGAGCTGCACATGAAACCTCAAAGTCTTTCACCAGACAGTGACATTTGTCACTTCTAATCACATTTCACTGCAGAGAGAGTCACGCAGCTGTGCCTATCCCCAAGAAGGTGCAACCCTCCATACACCCAGAAGGAAAAGGAAAAGCGCACAGTGGGCAACACTGATGACTAACCCCTCCCATGACTCGACCCCTATCTCCCCAGGCTTATTTCAGGCCACTTCCTGCTTCAGACTCAGATTAATTTTAGGGGAAAAAAAACTTAGAAAAGACAGATGAACTTGGACATACAAACAAAAAGCATCTAAAATCCCACCACCCTAAAATAAACTGCTAGCTTTCTCTATACCCTCCCTTCCCTTGCCCTCCATCACCTGTCCATGTATCTTCCTACCTACCTGCACATCTACCTACCTTTGTTTATAACAGAGAACTTTAGGCTGAGAGTTCTAAACCTTGAAATGCTATAAAATGCCTCCCTCACCTTTCTCCAAATCTCACCAGCTCACAAACTTAACATCTCAGGCAAAACAGAAATGCCAAATTATTGGAACTTAGGAATTCAGATACTACTGCCCATCATTTTAGAACCAACCACAGAGGTGGCCTCCCATGCATAAAGTGTCAGGGAGCTTCCCTGCAGCTCAGAAGCCTGCCTGTCCCTAACACCCAGGGCTCTCCAGAATGATACCAACGAGTGACCACATACTTCTCCTACTTCCCTGGGATATAGGGGCACTTGATGGTGGCACAGTTGGTTGACACCTTCAATACTCCAAGTCTTCCTCATCTGGTCTTTATTAAATTCTAAAACTCCCCTCAGTGATTCCAGGGTCTATAAAAGCAGATTTGAAGGGGTTGCCTGTTGTTGTCACGCAGCAGGGAAACTTAATGTCATTTTATGACTATAAATTAGCCACACGCAACTCAGATGTGATTCTGCCTAAAACCAAAGGAGCCACATGGGGAGTATGCAGTATTTAACCAAGAAGTAGGGAGATGTAGTTTTAGCAGAGCTGCCAGAGCCAGGCTGACCTGGAGACACAGCACAGCTGGTCCACGGCTCTGACAACATCTCGTCAAGGAAGCTCTGGGCCTTAGCTGCCTACTGTGAGAACAGGTGTAACTATTAGCCTCGCACAGTCAAAGGTAGGGTGCAGACAAGAGGACTCAGTGAATGCTTAATATTTTGAAGACCACTGATAAAATATAATGCCCATTGTTTTTCACTAATAAAACATATTAGGAATTGCAGATCTCT